ACGGCTGCCAGGGGCTGGCTCAGGGTGAGTGGGCACAGGCAGAACCGGCTCCCCCCGCAGCCACGCCGCGCGGAGGGTGCAGGCCGTGTCTGGGTGGCGGGGAGGAGGCCCTGGGGTGGGACGGGGTGCGCCCGAGCGGGTGGAGTCCAGCATGAGGCCGGGTTCCTGCTGTGGGGATCTGGGGGGACACCGGCTCCGAGCGAGCCGGGGAGGCTGACACGCGGGTCAGGAGCGGGACGCGCTCATCCGGGCGCGCCAGGGGGGCTGCAGACGTGCACGCGGGGTTGCCCGCTCGGGGCTGGTAGCGGAGCCATCAGCGAGCCCACACGGCCGGCACGAGCAGGCCCCGCCCGCTCGCACTTAGGGCCGAGCAGGGGCCGGAGGGGAGCGGTGGCCGGGGCGAGGTCAGGGCGGCGGTGAGCGTGGGGCGGCCGTGCAGCCGTGAACCGAACGGGAGGTTTTGGAGACGCTGACTTTGGCCCCAGGTCAGGTTCTGGGGGGGCCGGGCGACGCGTCCCGGGCGGAAACCTGACCACGGACAGCTGGGCGTGCGTGTGCAGGTGTGGGGTGTCCTCCGCGGGGAAAGGCGATCTGAGCTCTCCCGAGCAGGACCGGGTGTCAGTTGTCTTGGGGCTGGAGAAACCGGGGTGGTTTACATGCAGGTGGGGGGAGCAGCCCCGGGGAGACACGGAAGCAGAGACACGAACACGTGGGGGAGCGTCCAGAAAGCAGGGCGCCGCCCGACAGGGGCAGCGAGGGCTGCCGGGGCGGGGGACCGACGGTGGCTATGGGGTGGGAAGCGGGGAACCAGCTGGAGCCTCAATTCATCTGTGGACGAGGAACAAAGTGAGAGAAGCAGGGCCGGCGGCGGGGCGAGACGCGCGAGAAGCCGGGGGTGGGGGGCTGCGACCGCTCTCGCCTCCCCGCCAGGGCTTTCTGCTCCTTAGCCGCTGGCGTGGAGGGGGCTTGGGCCCTGCACACAGTTTTAGGTGGGGCTCCGGGAGCCGCCCTTTCCAACGAGCCCACGGCGAGGCTGGCTCTGCCCAGCGCAGCACGGCCAGCACCGCCGCGGCCTCGCGCGTGGGGCGGCAGCAGAGGCAGGTCCGCGGCAGGGCAGGCCCGCAGCAAGCACCCGACTCACTCCTGCCACTTGCCAAGGCTCAGAAAACGCTCTGGCTCCCAAACTATGGTGATGGCTTCACGCAAGGAAATTCTGGAAAGTGACCTAGCGGGAAGGCGCTCGAGGGAGGCAGAGGGCGGGTGGACTCTGGACGGTCACACATTCCCAGAGGCCCTTTCTAGTGGGGCGCACGCTGGCCACGGCGGGGCAGGCCCGGGCGTGACGCAGCGGGGCGGGCGGGGCGGTGGCACCGAGGGTGGGAGAGGACGCCGACGACGGCCCTGCCAAGTGGAACAGAGACAGGCAGACACTGTGCCAGCAGAGCCCGAGTCTCTCCCACTAGATGCCAACGCCTGGGCCTTGACGTGTGAGACGTGGGGAGGAGAGAAAGTGCCTTTCGCCCAACCAGGCTTTGGAGCGGGCCGTCGCCCGGCCGACTCGGTCCGATTCACATCCCGGGGCCTGCACATCCCGGGGCCCGCTTGTCTGCAGCCCTCTGGGGCCTCTTCCCGGTTGGCAGCACACGCCGTGCCACTGGCAACACCGTCTGCAGCTCCCGGGCAGCCCGGGCAGAGGCCCTGGTGGGAGGAAGCTGCGGCGGGAGCTGGATCCCGTCATCCCTGACGAGAACAATCCGTGCGCTGAGCGCCACGGCGACGGGGACGGGCCTCTCGCCACCGCCCTGGAGATCGCGCGTCACTTGGGGACGCAGCATCGATGTCCCCGTCCCGCCAGCGCGCACACGCCATCCCCCTTCGCCCGCGCCGGCGCCCCCACCACGCGCAGCCTTGAAGCCTGGCGCTCGCCCTGTGGCGCAGAGCAGCGAGGCGAGGCCCCGTGCCGCGGAGGAGAAAGGCAGCCTTAGGGGACAGGGCTCTGTCCGGGTCAGGAGAACCGAGGGCAGCGCCGTCAGTTCTCAGGTCTTGCTTAGGGTCACGCGAGTTCTCCCTGGGCCCGGCGCTCCGGAGGACGCCCGCGGCCGGGCTGGGGCGGGGGCGAGCGGGGCGGGGAGGGGGCCTGACGGACACGACACAGGGATGGACGGGCTCGGGAGCCTGCACTTGCGCTCGCGCTCTGGGCACCGCTGTTCTGCCCCGGGCGGTTGAGGAGCCCCTCAGCTGTTCGCGCTGCTCTGGAAACGTGAGATGAGCCTCCCTCGCTGCCGCAGGGAATGGGTGTTAAAAATACATCAAGGAGGGCCTCGCTGGCGCGCGAGGGGTTGAGCGCCGCACTGTGAAGCTGTCCGCAGCCTCTGCAGCGCGAGTTTGATCCCCGGCAGCCAGGGAGCTGCTCACACCGCGGCGCCGCAGACCTCTCCTGTCTCCCCGCGGCTCCCCTCAGCAGTGGATTTCAGTCCATCTGCCTGTTGTGTCCCCCACTCTGTCTCTGGTGAGTCCTCTGCCCCCCTGCATCTCTGGCCTGTACCCCAGTTCTTATATGCATAAATAAGTAAATCTTAAAAAAAACCACATCAAGTAATTTGTATGCCGGCGATGGAAGGGAAAAGTGAGGGACCCCCCCTCATTAGACAGTGGGCCGAGATGAAAGCCACGCACGATGCACTCTGGCACGATGCACTCTGGCGGGGCCCCAAGGGACAGCTCGGTCCCGTCAGGCCCTGCCTTAAGCTCCTTCTTCAGAGCACGCCATGTCCGTGTATTTACACGTCAACTGTCCCCACTAACACGTAAGCGCACATCCGCAGGGCATTCGCCCTCCCTTGCCAGGGCTTTCAGGGCCTAGAACAACCCTGGCATCTAACAGGATTCACGAGGCACCTGCTTAAGCAATGAGAAATGTCCGTGCCACTCCTGCCACTCATCAATTTTGAGACCTTGGAGGAATCATTTCATCTCCTGGGGAGTTAAAAGAAAATAAAAGCATCAACTAGATAACCCCTTTCCACGCGCCACCAGTGACTTTACACGCCACCACTGTGACTTTACACACCTACGACACGAGGGGATAGACCAGTGAGGCGGTAATTGCAGCATTTCCCGTCTGCCCAGCGTCTTTCTAAAATCGTTTTTCTTTTTCTTTTTTTTTAATATTTAAAGAGCAGTTTTATTAGAAAAGGGAGAGGAGAGGAAAGACACTTGCATAGACGCCAGCGGGCAGGAAGAGCTGCCCCGAAAGGGACAGGTTTGCTGAGAGAGGCCTGCATGGCTGCAGGCGGGCGGCCTTGAGGAGAGGCGCGTCTGCTGAGGGAGGCCAGTGAGAAGTCCCGGCAGGTGCGGGCCACGGGCAGGCAGGAGCTGCTGCCTTGAGAGGGAGAGTTGGTGAAAGGAAGCACCTGCATAGCCGCAGGTGGGCAGACGGCGTGCTGCCCTAAAAGCCCGTTTTTGTTTAGAACAAGTACTACTCGGAGTCCTGCTCTCCAAAGGGGAAGCTAAAAGCTCCTTGTGCAGCTTCTCTGCAGCTGGGGCCCACGAGATGGACGTGCAGGACACTGCTCTTGACCGGGACCGTTAGGAGACAGGGAGGTGGCCGGGCAGCTGCAGCGGCCTCCGGGCTCTGCGAGGTCATGCAGGGGAAAAGCTGGGGCTGGGCGACAGCAGCGAGGCTGGTTCCTGGGGCTCCCGAGGTGGCAGCGGAGGGAAAAGGAGAAACACACTTCCTCGAGGAAAAAGACTTTTTGAAGGATCAGACTTGACCCCACTCCTGCTCGGCCAGTTTCCAACCAAGCTCATGACTAAGTCATTTAACCTTGGGCCTGTTTCATTCTTTTTTTTTAAATTTTTTTAAAAAAAGATTATTTATTTAGGGCCTCCCCGGTGGCGCAGCGGTTGAGCGCTGGGTGGTGAAGCTGCCCCTTCCTCTGCGGCGCCGGTTCGATCCCCGGCTGCTCCCCGGCCACCGGAGGAGGGTCCCCCATGGCGCGCAGACCTCTCCTGCCGCCCGCTGCTCCCCTCGGCAGTGTCCTTCGGTCCCTCTGCCTGCTCTGCTCCCCGCTCTGGCTCTGGTGAGTCCTCTCACCCCCCCCACCTCTGGCCTGCACCCCAGCGCTTGTATAAATAAATCAATCTTTTAAACAAACAAACAAAAAAATGGTCACAGGCCGAGCTGGACAGGGGCGGTGACCGATGGCCGCCGGAAGCCCGCGGGGTTTGCTGCTGCTCTGCGCCCCGCGGCCGGTCAAAGGGCGGCCTGAGGCCTCAGGCCTGCTCCGGAGGCCGCCGGGCGCGGGCAGCGGACACGGGGACCGGCCACCTCTGCGGCCTCGGCCGGCCGCGGGCATCCCCGTCCCGCAGAGCGCAGAGCGCGGCCGGCCGGCAGGGGCCTCCCTCCCGCCGCCCAGCAAGGGGTGCAGCCGCCCCGGGGCGGCGCGGGGGCGGGGGGCAGGGCCACGCTTGCGCCGACTGCCCCCCAAAAGTGAGTCCGAAGGGAAAATCCGGCCCTCGGCGGCGCGACACCCGCTACCTGGCAAGCGCCCTCCCGGCCCGTCCCCTCCCGCGGGGCCCGGCGGGCGGCGGCTCTGAGGCGTCACCGCCCGTCCCGCCCGGGGCGCCCCGCGGCGTCGAGGCGGCCCGCGAGCCCCCCGCCCCGACGCCCCGACCCGGGCGCGGGAAGCCGCTCGAGCCGCCGCGCGTCCCCCGGGCCGGTCGCTTCCGACGGACCCGGCCGTTCCCGGGGCGCCGCCGCCCCCCGCGCCCCCCGCCGCCCCCGCCCGGCCGCGCGCCCCGCCAGCGCCCCCTCGCCCAGCCCCGGGCGGCCTCGCGGCGTCCGCTCGCCCGGGCCGCCTCAGCGCGCAGGCGCGGGGGGGGGGCGGCTCCTCGGGCGCAGCGGCCGGAAGCAGCGGCCCGCGCGCGCCGCCCCCGCCAGACGCGCCGCCCCCGGCCGCGCCGCCGCGAGATCTCGCGAGGCCCCGCCCGCCCCGGAAGCGGAAGCGCGGCGGTGGAGGCGGCTCGTTGCCTTGGAGAGGTGGGCGGCGTGGGCCGCGGCGCGGGGCGCGGGCGGGCGTGGGCCGCGGGGCGCGCGTGTCCCCCGGTCCGGGCGCGCGGGCGGGCCGGGGCTGCAGACGGGCGCGGGGCCCGAGCGCCGCTGATCGCTGCTCCGCGGGCCTGCGGCGCCCGGTCCGCCCGGCTGCCTCGCCCCCGCCGGCCGGGAACGCGCCTCGGGAGGGGCCCCCGCGCGGAGCCGGCCCCGGCCCCGCCGCCTCGGGGGGCTCAGTGCTTGTTTTTCACCCCGCAGATCCGAGCGGCCTCACGCTTGACCGGCGCGGCCGCCGGAGCCCCGGGTGAGTGGCGCGGGGGCGGGAGCTGAGGCGTCCTCGTCCTCCGCGGTGCGGGTGCTCGGGTGCCGGCGGGCCTGGCGGGGGCGGCCGTCGCGAGGCGCTTGCCTGGTCCCGGGGTCCTCACTGCCCCTCTGTTAGGCCGGGGCGGCCGCAGGCCAGCTGACCCCTGCGGACGCGCGGGCCCGGCGTTCCTGAGCTGAGCTGGTGTCAAGCCTCACCTTGGACTTGAGCACTGGGGGTCGGGCCTGCGGCAGCCGCGGCTGAGTGAGGCGCAGAAGGGGGCAGCGTCCAGGTACCCCTTGATTCTGCCCAGTAGGCGTCACTGAATCAGCTCGGGGTGAGGGTAGCGTTGTAAGTATTTGCATGTTTTCAGGATTTGGAGGAAAGACAAACTAATGCAGAAGCCACCTTCCAGTGTCACCTCTTGGTCAAACACTGTATTGTAAGTCTAAGTAATCCCCGAAGAAGAATAATTGTAGGATGTCAGAGGAGAAAGATTGGGTTTTAAAGTTTTAGTAGAGTAGACACCGTCATAAAACAGATTTAAGGCGTCTGGGGCCTCCCTGCTGGCCTGGGGGTTACGTCTCGCCGCCATCACTGCTGCGGCCTGTGCTCCATCTCTGGCCAGGGAGCTACCCACAGGGCCCAGCAGACCTCTCCTCTCTCCCTGCTGCCCCCCTGTCTCTGGTGAATCCTCTCACCCCCTGCATCTCTGGCCTGCACCACGGTTCTTCTACACAAAAATAAGTAAATAAAATCTTTAAATCTCTTCAGTTTAGCAGTACACAAGGACGTTTGTGAATGTCCTGCCTAGAATTGTTTATTGGTTGTTCGTTATTTAATAAGACCGTTACTTTTTAAAATTCTAATAGAAACATGTTAAAAATTGTACAGAATTTCGGAATGACTGACGCTTCTGAAGCTGTTGCAAATTTTGAAGAAATGTTTGCCAGTAGGTACACAAAAGATGACCAAGAGTACCAGGACTACCTGAAACGCGCTGCCCAGTCTCACCCTCCCGTCGTTGAGGAGTGGAACAGCAAGGCTGGCGGGAACCAGAGAAACAGAGGCAACTGGTATGTGTCCCGCCAAGAGCAAGCGCAGGGCCGGCCTGGGGGGGCGCGTGGATCTGCTGGCCCATAAGGCCAGTGCGGGTGGGGCCAGTGTCTTGTGGTCTGTACCTTGTGTCCAGTAACTGCCTGACAGAGTAGGTGTCTGGTAAATACCTGCTTTAATGTTTTGTCCATGTTGTTGGATTTTGGGGGTTCCTGGATTTGGGGATTCCTTGGCCCTTTACCGTGATGTGAGAACTCACAACCATGTCTTTAGCAGGCATGGAAGCAAGTTTATTTGGAGGTGGAATAAAGGGACATACTCAGGGAGGTTCCTGGGCGGGCAGAGTCCTTGCAAGAACTGGACAGGAAGACAGGGTCTTAAGCCGGGTGAAGGAGTGGCTCATCTCCTTTCTGGGGTGCCCTTTGCAGGGCTCTCGGGGTGTTGGTTTATAAGTCCAGCAGCAGTTTCTAGGTCGCTCGCCGCCTGTTGTGCTCCCTGCTGTGCAGGTCAGGCAGGGGAGGCGTCTGAGTTGCCTCATGTCAGCCCTCTCCGCCGTCCCCTGGAGCAGGAGAGCATTGGGGGACCTGCTTTCTGGTCCAGAGACCTGCCAATTTCAAGGAATTGCCCCCCTTGGGTACTCCTTGCCCTCTAGCTTTGACACCTGCCTGTGGGTTGGGTGCTTTTCGCCCCACTGGGCTAGTCCTGGCTCTCCCCTGGCCTTGTCAGCTCTGGCAGGTGTTCCCGGGTCCTGGGATACAACCTTGTGTGAAATCCATAAAGAAAGGACTGTTTTGGCTTCAGGAAGACTTTTATAAGATGGAAGTTACTTCTGTTTAATATTTTGAAATAGAGGGATAAACTCCCGTGGGCTCCTGTGCAGCTTAGGAGGTCTCGGCTGGCTCAGAACGGCCCTGTGGGTGGGGTCAGTTACCTTAGCCCGCTGCCCTGGAGGTTGGATTCACCTGAGGAAAGTGCTGAGTGACTGGTGTTAGAACATTCTGCAGAGAGAAATGTCTTGTTTCTGGAATGTTCGATTGAGAAGTGAAATGCACCAGGGTAGATTTGTGGGGTGTGGTTTTTGAAGGGAAGTTTACAAATCTTTCTGTTTTGTTGTAGGTTGCAAGATAACAGACAGTTTAGAGGTGGGGATGGCAGACGGGGGTGGCCAAGTGACAATCGATCCAATCAGTGGCACGGACGGTCCTGGGGTAACAGCCCGCAGCCCAGACAAGAGCCTTACTACCCCCAGCAGTACGGACACCGCGGCCACAGCCAGCGGCCACCCTACGGTTACTACTGACACTGTCTCCGGCTTCTAGTAAAAGCATTTACTGTCAACACGACACGTCTGTGTGTGTCTTCTGTGGGTCACAGCCTCACGTCTGCCTTTAGAGAGTGGATTGTTAATGTTTTGGAACTTGAGACCAGGAAAGCCTTAGCCCTCCCTGAGCGATGTGGTGGTTGCTGGAACTCGGCCCTCGCTCTAGCAGGCTCCTGGCTCGCCTCTACCTCAGATCTGTCCGCCAGGCCACAGTGCTGTGACTCAGCGCGCTTCTTCCTTGTTTGCTGTGCAGGCGTTCTCATCGTTTTACACAGAAATAAAGATTTTCAAGTAGAAATTGCTTGCTTTCGCTTTGTTAGGTAAGGGTGTATTTCCACATCAGAGCCACCAGCCGCAGCCGCCCGGCTCCGCCCCCTGTGCTGTGCAGACACCCTCAGCAGAGCGGAAGGCAGCGGGTCTCCTGTTCTAAGGTGACTGTGCTCCTTTGTTGTCACCCCGTGGGGATGAGTCAGCTCCACAAGCATCCTGGAGGGTTCTGTAGGATAAAACTGCAAACCAAGGCAGGAGAGCTGCTGTTCCCCTACGGGGAAGGCCAGAGCAGAGTCATCGTGTGCAGCGCCCAGCCTGTCTCACACAGGTCAGAATCCACTTTGTACACGAGCTGAAATCTGCACCATTGCTCTCCTTCCCTCTCCCCGCACGCCTCACTGCCACGGTGCCCAGCGTGTGTTGGCTTTGCAGTGCTACACACACACACACACACACACACACACACACACACACACACACACACACACACACTCTCTCTCTCTCTCTCTCTCTCTCTCTCTCACCTCCAGACTGCTGCTTTCTCCTCTAAGTTCAGCGACGCTGCCCCCCTCTCAGAGTGATGGCTGTTTCACATCATTTTAGTGGATCTTTACAGTGGGTTTAATGAAATAGAATACAAGATGGAGCAATTTCTCTGGTTTTGGCTGTTGGTCCATTCTTTAGTGTGCTGAGGTGAGCTTCTGTCCATGCTAGCTGAAGAGAAATTCTTTGGCTTAACATTAAGAGTAAAGTTACATTAAAATTAAAATGAGAGAGTGACCAGTTTCATCCAAGTCAAGGACCTGAAAGGCATTTTCCTAAACCCGCCTTCGGTCTCGGCTGACTCCCTGCTCCAGACCTGCCCCCTCCTGAACAGCTGTCCTGCCAGGTGACGCCTGCTGATGTTGACTAGAGGCTCTAGTCAACCCACCGTCATGTCACTTGTGTAAGCAGCACTAACAACAGGTGTTTCTCGCACCCCCTGGCCGCAGGCAGCTGTGTAGGTGAGTCTTGACAGCAGGGATATTTAGCCCAGAGTCGAGGTGGCTTGACTATGCCTGGGGGCCTCTCAGCTGACAGAGTGAAGGCCCTGACCGGCAGGGACAGCAGCAGGGCCCTCTGCGTGCGGCTGTTGATGCTAATTAGGGCGCCCCTTGGGCACGTGGGCAGAGGCAGAGCAGGTGATGCCTCTCAGCTCAGAGGAAAGGTGACTGCCAGCAGTGCTTGACCACCTGGGGCACACGTGGCCTAAGTGGCAGCCCTGCTTGAAAAGGCGATAGAGGCCCCTGCGGACACAGCTATTTCTACGTGGCCCCCTCCGCCAACAGCACACATGGTCAGGCTGCCTCCCGGGCGCGAGAAGCCAGCAGGAAGGACTACGTGTGGTTTCCGCTTCACGTGGGAGATAGAAAATAAAATATTCTTCAGGATAATTAAGAAATGCCAGGTGGGGGCCTCCCCTGATGGTGCAGTGGTTGAGTGCTGGGCTGCGAAGCTGCCCGCAGCCTCTGCAGCGCCGGTTCGATCCTCGGCCACCAGCGAGGGTCCCACATGGCGCGCAGACCTCTCCTGCCACCCGCTGCTCCCCCCAGCAGTGGACTTTGGTCCTTCTTCCTGCTCTGGCTCTGGTGAATTCTCTCACCCTCCCACGCTTCTGACTGTACCCAGTGCTTGTATAAATAAATAAATCTATCTTTAAAAAAAAAAAAAAAAGTGGAATTCATCCCACCAGCGTGTGGAACAGCACGCGCGTTGGGCGGGACGCTGCGTGTAGGCCTGTTGGTACCAGGTGTGTGGCCTTGAGAAAGTGCCTGTAACTGAGCTTATTTAAGTGCACCGTAGCGATGGGGCTAGTACCCATCTGACATGAGGTGGGGCAGGATGGGAGAGCTACAGATCTGTGTCCTGTGAACATGTGAATTGGCAAAAGGAGAGGAAGTTGTACCCTTAGAAAATAAACACTTCACATATGGAAGAAAGTTGATGTAAAAGTTAAGCTGAAATTTCGAGCACAGGCTGTTTGGAAATTGGCCTCAGTTGTAAAATGGTGCTTTTAACTCCCTAAAGTCTGAATGAGGTAACGCTGGTGTGATTGCCAAGGCCCAGCTCCTTTCCTTTGTTTTCTTTCCTCTTTTAAACATCTCCTTCAGAGTAAGTGTGCAGAGTAAGTGCAGTGAAAGGGGCGGATAGCCTCACTCAGCCACCCGGCCTGTTCCATGTGCTTCGCTGCTTCCACACCCACACAGATGTCCAGAAATGTCATGTTCATAAACTCATTTTACCAAACATGTGTACTTCACACACACATATACGTGTTCGAGTGGCAGAGCAGACCCCACCTGAGGTCAGTGGGACGGGTTAGAAACTAGCGATTGGAGTTCAATAACCTACAGCATGGACTTGGCATCTGTAAATAGGCACATGGGCTTTGTGCCCCTCCTGCCCCTACCCACAGCACCGCATTCCTCGTCATGTGTTTCCTCACAGGTAGAGCTGTCGTGTCACGAGTAGAATTGCTAGATTAAAACAGCTATTTTGAAATTTTCACAAATGTCACATTGTCTTAAAAAAAAAAAGGGGGGTCCTTTGTGATGTCCACGAGCTGCTGAATCACCCCCAGGTAAAGCCTGCCTCCAGGCTCCAGGGATGCGAGCAAAAAAAATCCCTCCCTGATGGAGTTGGGTTTCTGCTACTTGTCAGGGAAAGCGACCCAGGGGCCAGGGGTCCCTGTGAACACAGTATGCCCTGGAGCTCACGCTGGACAGTGCCAAGGGGCAGGGAAAGCTCCCGAGCCAAGGCCATGGGCAAACAACAGCTCTTGAGAGCAGATGACTGGGAGGCACAATGTGACCTCAGGGCCACCACCCCATTCAGGGCACAGCTGTACCAGGTGAGTGGTTTCAACTCTCTTTTTTTAAAAATTTATTTATTTATACGTACAAGAGCCGGGGCAGGCCAGAGATGCAGGGGGTGAGAGGATTCACCAGAGACAGAGTGGGGAACAGAACAGGCGAGTCCACTGAAATCCACTGCCAAGGGGAGCAGCGGGTGAGACAGGAGAGGTCCGCCGCGCCATGTGGGCCACTCCCTGGCTGGACGGGGATCAGAATCACGCTGCAGAGGCCTCGGACCGCCCCATAGTGCGGCACCCAACCCCTTGCGCCACCAGGGAGGCCCAGTTCCAACTCTTCTACCATCAAGAATCTTTTTGTTGCTGGTCCTTCCTGTGGGTTTTGTCTACCAACACATGTTTCATGTACTAGGCAAAGCACACAACTGTGCAAGTCAGCTCCTGAGGCAGGCAAAGGCATTAACCTTACCAAATTACCATAACTTGCACTGAATATTTAAAAACAATTTATTAGCCTTGAAGCTTTAACGTAGATGATTCCTGACAGGCTTTCACAAATACTGAAAAGAGCCTCCAGGTCTTCTTCTTTCAAGGCTCTTTGGAGACTCATAAAAACTAGAAAACTAGCAGGTTTGATGACTGCAGTTCCCATCCAAGGATACCATTTCTCAAAAGAAAACATAAAATCACAAATCTTGATTGTTATGTATTTTCTCATAAACTGTTCAACAGTTTTATAAAGATGCAGGAAACAATTCTGCATTTAGGTGAGCATTTTGAAAAATAAAGACGACCACAGCAGTGTGCCGGGTCTTCCACGGCCACTTATAAGGCAGAGAAGACAAGCGCGAGGGCCAGGGGTGTCGCTTTATAATCAGGGCGAACACCCACTGAGGAGGCACCGGCTCTTGCAGACATGACCCTGAGTGATTTGCTCAACTTCCAGAAACCAGGAGCCTCTTTACCAAACCAAAGGGGCGAAATAAGGTGTTCGTGAGCACCCCTTCAGGCTTCTGTTACTTTGTAGTGCGGCGAAGCCCGACTAATGCACCCAAGACGCTCGGGGCTCAGAGGTTTTGGAACCTATATTTATGTAATGTACAACACCTTTACAAGTCCTTTTCTTATTTAAATGTACATATTTCCCCCATGTTCTTCTGTACATTTAAATATATCTCCCCCCCAAAAAATAAATATATCTTCCTGTTTAACAGCTCTTCATTCTTAGCAATAATACGGCTTCTCCAGGATGTATTTTTCATCTCTCGCTTTTATTCTTTTTCAACTTGCTTTTGCAACTTCTCCAAGATCTCTTCCGGAGTTGTGGAGGCCAAAAGCTTCACCACTTTTTCACGAGATTTGCCACCCTGGACCAAGATGAAAGAGGCATGGCAGGATAACACACTATGCTTTCTAATGCTGTCAGAGCCTCACTGGTAGCTCCTGCAGCTGTGCTCGCAACCCCACACTGGAAACCCGTGGTATTAATGACTTCATGTGAGCCTTTCTTCCTAAAATCACCTTTCTGGGAACATTTGTAACCTGGGGCCTCAGTAATGGAGATGACACAGTAGGGACCACCTGAGGGTTTCTGTTCAGTAAAGAACTGAAGATCTGAGTCAGCTAAGTCTGAAGCAGGTACAGGAAAATATTCAGAAAGGAGAAAATGCTAGAAATGTGGCCACTAAAGAACAAGGACAGCAGGACCATCTGCAGGAGACCTGAAACAGGAATACGTGCTAAATAGGAAGAAGTCAGATTTTAGTGATTAAATGAATATGAGGATTAAAATTTATTTTGCGATTATTTGGAAAACAAAAAGCAATTGCTGTGCACTAAAGATACCTAAAGAGAGGGCCTCCCTGGTGGCTCAAGGGGTTGAGCACTGCACTATGAAGCAATCCACAGCCTCTGCAGCATGAGTTCGATCCCTGGCTAGCCAGGGAGCAACCCACATGGCGCAGCAGACCTCTCCTGTCTCTCCCGTTGCTCCCCTCAGCAGTGTGCTTCGGTCAGTCTGCCTGTTCTGTTCCCCACTCTGTCTCTGCTGGATCTTCTCACTCCTCGCATCTCTGGCCTGTGCCCCAGCTCTTGTATGCATAAATAAATCAATCTTTTTTTTTTTTTTTAAAAAAAAGATATTTAAAGAGACACCTACCTTATCCAAAACCACATCACTCTTCCTGAGTTCTAAGACCTTGGACAGGTAGCGGCAGAGCTCAGCATTAGCCTCTCCCTCGGATGGCGGGGCTGCGATGGCCACGCCCACGGCCTCAGCTGTCACATCTGCAATGAAGACAGAGGATTTAACCTCAAGGGGTTCTTTTTCTTCTTGAGTCAGGGTGTTTTCTAAAAGAGCTTGCATTTTCCTGAGACGTATGTTTTCAATTAACACCTGTTTAACTGTGGACAGAAGTAATCACACCATACATCTGCCCCTGCCAGTGCAGAAAAAAAATCCAGGGAGGAAAGCATTTGTGCATTCTCCCCTGCTGACTGGGCAGCATCCCGGACAGGTAAATTGAGACTGAGGAGGATGCCCGTGCCCCAGGATGCTGTGGGGGCCGCGAGGGAGGCGGCCGCACAGGTGGCCGGGTCTGCTGTCGGGAGCCCCAGACCAGACCCTCTCGGGTGACGGGCCTCCCCGCGCTCCCGCGACGCCGGGCTCACAAGCGTCTGCACACACGGGGAAGCACCGACTGCGAGGGCGGAAAAAACACGTTCCACGGGTTTTATCCCAACCGCTGGCGCTATAAAGACCATCATTTTCCATTTGAAAAACGAGGAAACGAGAGCCTGAGAAGTGCCCCGGGTCGGCGGCAGAAAGTGACGATGCGATTCGCAGCGGAGTCCAAGCGCGGCTCCGAGACCCGGGCGCGGCCCGGCCGGCCCCGGGGTCCCGCCCTCCCTCCGCGGACCCCGCCGTGGCGCGGGGCCGAGCGGCCGCGCTTCTGGGGCTTCCCCGGAGACTCGGTCTACGAGGGGCCGGGCGGGACGACGCGGGGGCCCCGGACCCCGGACCCGCCGGGCGAGGGACCCGGCGCGCCGCCCGCGCCCGCACCTGTCACGGCGTTGCGCCGGGAGCCCGGCTTGGCGTGGACGGCGATGGTCACGCGGCCTCCGGCATCGACGGCCACGGGCCCGGCGGGGGGACGCGGCGCCGGCGCCTCGCTCCGGCCTGTGCCCTGAAACGACAACCACCCTCAGAGGCCGCCCTCAGAGGCCGCCCGCGCCCCGCGCCGCCCGCGCCCCGCCTCGCCACTGGCCTTGCTCGCCGCGCCCGCCTTCTTCGGCATCGCGGCGGCCGAAGGGAGGCGGCCGGAGAACCGAGCGCCCCGCCCGGCCTCGAGCTGCCGCAGCCGGCCCCCGAGCCGCCACATGCCCGCCAGGCGGGCGCCGGCGCCGGAAGCGCCCTCCGCGCCTGCGCAGGAGCCTCGCCCTTCCGGCAGGCGCTTGCCTGGCGACGGAAGCGCACTTTGCGCCTGCGCACGCCGCGTCCGGGCGCCGCTCCCGCCCGCGGGCGCCCCCGCCTGGCCCACGGCCGCGGCCTGCGGGGCGGCGGGGCGCTCGGGCCGCGGCGGGACCCGCGCCGCCGGGCGGGTCGTGGGTGCAGTCGGCGCGCGAGGGCCGGGCGGGGGCTGGGGCCCGCGGGGTGGCCGCGGCGTCGTCAGCCCGTGCCTGCTCGGGCCCGCCTCCGACGCCGGCTCCGCGGTGCGGCCCCTCGGCCCGGCCCGCCCGGTTCCCGCTGAGGGCGGGGACGGGCCGGTCCCGAGCCCGCGCCGGGGCGGGTCCGCGGGCCGTGGCGGGCCGGGCGCCCTGCGCGTCTGCTCCCGCCGACGTTTTTTTCTTAAAAGCTCTGGGACCCGGGCCTCCCCGGTGGCGCGGCGGGGGAGCGCTGGGCTGCGAAGCCGCCCGCAGCCTCTGAGCGCGGGTTCGATCCCGGCCGCCTGCCGGGCGAGGGTCCCACGTGGCGCGCAGCCCTCTCCTGCCGCCCGCGGCTCCCCTCAGCAGTGTCCTTCGGTCCTTCTGCCTGCTCTGCTCCCCGCTCTGGCTCTGGTGAATCCTCTCACCCTCCCGCGCTTCTGACTGTCCCCAGTGCTTGTATAAACAAATAAATCTTTAAAAAAAAGCTCTGGGACCTGCAAGGACATCTTGCGGACTCATCGCTTGGCCTTGGAGTCCTCCTTTCAAAAACAGGCAGCCCCTCCCGTGCGAGTGGGCCGTCAAGCACCTTCGGGGTTCATGCAGCCCCACAGCGGTGACCTGGAGACCCCAAGTGTCCCGCTGCCGGGAGACCGTCTGCGACCTCCCTCCTTCAAGGACTCTCAGACACGGCTCTGCCCGAGCAAGGGGCGCCTGGGACACCAGGGGGCCAAGGCCACGGTCCTCAGGGGTCACCCCGACAGGTCACCCAAGTCAAAGCGCAGCAGCCAAGCCCTTGTTCCAAAGGGCATCGGTCAATGCTGGGACGGAAAAGAAATGACAAGAGGAACGCAGGAGTAACCGTATTTATTTTTAAATTCCAGGGCTGCCCCAGTCAGTGAACAGTGCGGTGGCACCTGCCATGGTGTTCAGGGCCACACAACGGACGCAGGTCCCGTGCCACAAAGGTGAGAACAGACCCACCTCCAGGTCGTGGTGCTGAAGGCCCAGTGGTGCCCGCACCGGCTTCCACAGCGCCTTGGCGGCACCCAAACACCCCCCGCAGCTGGGCCTTGAGCCGGTCACTGTGGAGGCCCTGGTGCCAGGATGAGCTTCCCCGTCAGCCATTTCAAGACACCTCTGGCACCAGCACACCCCACTACCTTCTTGAAAATATAGAATGAAACATTTTAGGTGAAAAATTTTCATATCCAAATTACCACCCTTTAGAAAAAAATTCTATTATTTAAAGAAATTGATTTTTTTTCTGACCATCTTCCACAAGTGATACACCTTAAACCTAATTACAAGAAAGTTTTTTAATAACATCACTTTGAGGGGAGAAAAGAATATTATCATCATTTATATAAAAATAGTACATAAATATCACTGCGTCTCCCCCCGATCCTGACAGACCCGACTGTGACATGAGGGCCTGGACAGCAGACGTTTTACTTCTTGCACTGAACTGTGTAGGTGAACAGAAAGTGTGTTTTTCAGAAGCGACTCTGCTCACTTTTCTTTCAACAGCTTAAAATGTAAAGCAGCTGCTGGAACGCTGGTCCTTCTGTTCAGGTCCTGGCCGGCAAGTGTGTTCAGTGTGGGCCCGCTGACCTCCCGTCGGGTCGCCACCCTCAGTCTCATCCTGACACTGGGGCTAGTGACAGCAACCCCGTGCAGTTAGCAGGAATCCAGAATCCAGTTTGGGGATAAAGAATCCAGCCTTAGGCCATACCTTTAGATCCTCGGTTTATATCACGTTATTGTGAACTTGTACAAACTCCATTTATAGCTCAAAACTCTACTCTGCAACACAGTACTATACTGTTATACAAAATAACCTTTTCTGTAAATGCACTGGAAATTTCCTGGGCATTATTAAGCCTATTTCTACCAATATTCCAAATGCTAACCATCAGATATTCAAAACTCCAAATATAAAGTCAGTTTTCTTAATTTTCTGAAATTAGTTGAGTAAATAGAAATTCTGCATGAATACTGACCTGTCTGATCTCACGTAACTTTCAAAATAACTAAGTCTATATGCCCATCTCATCCCACCTTCGAAATAGTTAACAAAACAGAAAATCACCTGTCTATCTCTAAGAAGGATCTTTCAATAATAAAACTGCTGAAAGCTCAGGCATCAGCTGGCCTATGAAATCAAACAAGATAAAACCGAAAGAGCTGCTTGGTTTTAACAATCACACCCAGTTTTCTCCCCCCCAAGGTTGTAAGAAAATGGCTAATCTGCCTTTCAATCATGCAGATAAAACCAACAACTTGCTATCTCCTCTAAGAAACTAAAATGTTTCTCATCTTACAATCATAAATGTTCACGACACTCAAAATTATTTTTGGTGGCCAGTTTTTATGCCTTTGTGGCTAGACTATATAGCACTATTCACCAAGATGTGCTATGGAGTATGCTAACTAGGTATAAAATATTATTTCCGGTATCTGTCCATCTTCTATGGAAGTGCCGTTGTTATTGCCAGGGGAACTGAAAAAGAAGAAGACCGTCTTGCTAGCAGCAGGCGTCTCGTGGACCACTTTCTTCAGTCCCTTGGTGCCGTAATGGGAATCCGGACCCTAAGTGAGGACACAAGTCATTAGTCCTTTTCATTGAATCAATGTTCAGTTTAATACGGTGTTTTAATTAGGTCAATAATCTACTGTATTTTGTTAGGAAATTGTAAGCCAAGCCATTTAATGAAAAATGGATTTTTTTGTAGCTAAGCAGATTAAAAACATGAATGTAGAGCTTAGCCATCAGATAACAATGTAAAATGGTTTTAAGAAATTATTATTTTATTGATCTTCTAACACTCCCCCTCCTGCTCGCCCTGCGCTTCTCACGAAGGGCCATTCCTCATGGGCAGAGCTGCACAAGAGCCACCCACTTCTTTTCCACCTCCTCTCCCCTCTTCCTAAAAGGCCTTCCTGTCACTCACTCGCAAAACGTCAACTGAAAACAGGTCGCTGTAACATGCAAGAGGAAACCAAGGCCCAGGGCACCAGGTGGAACCTTCTGAACACTGGTGACTCTTACTTTGAGCGTTGCACAGGCTGTGTAGCACACGTTGGGCAGGATCTCAATAGGTTCTTTGAACATGACCCTGAAAGTGTTAGCAGTTCCGTCACAGCTAAATCCAGTATCGTTCTGCCCCAGGGTTTGTTTCTTCTCATATTCAATTATCTGTAATTTTGAAAAAGAGATAGAGCTCAACCAAGCGAAACACACATTGCAGAAAGCACAGAAGCCTCGGGCCCAGTGAAGCCCGTGTCTACATCACACGGCTGTGCTGCACAGCGGTCTCCGGCCACCGAGGCAGCGCCACCCGCCCTGGGCACTGGCCGCCGCGCCCGGACACAGCGCCCACCTCTCTGGATTCCCTGGCGTGGCCCCGGCCAGCCCATGTCCTGTGGCTGGAACTCCCGCGGCCTTTTCTGTCTAGATGTCCTTTACTGAAACTCAAGGGACCTAAAAGGCAGCGTTCCAGGGTGAGATCTACACTGTCTCTCCAGCCATGCCCTGGGCTGGAGGAGGACACCCACTGGGAGCTTCCGATAGGAGGGCTGGCGTGGAACCCGTGGCAGTCCAGCCCGGGCCCGCCGTGGCAGGGCAAGGCGCAAGGCCAGGGGCTAGACGGACAGAGTCTGATTTGTGGTGAAGGGTTGTCGCTCACGGAACAGCTTGGAAGCTCAAGGCAGAGCTTGCGGGGTCAAGGAGAAAAGCATCCACGAACCTGACCCCGCACGCAGCAGACCGTGGCCGATCGAGCCCTTTACTCAGAACTGGCGGCAGCCAGTCGCGCGGAGACACGGCCGTGGCTCACCCCCGGGCCCGCAGCTGTGAGGCCGCCAGGGGGGTCGAGGCCAGTCCTGGCCCTTCGATTGTCCGGTCTCGCTAGAAGGCGGCCGTGCTGAGATTCAGACCCAGACAGGCCTCCCCGGTGGCATCTGGAGGGGTACGAGCCACCGGGGCAGGAGGAGAACCCTGTCTCTACTCCTTTACCCGGCGTCTTCCCACGCAGCACCTGCAAATACCCACGGCCTGCCCCTCCGCCCCCACCCCGGGCTCGCCCCCTCCAGCCTGCTTGAGTGGGGTTGGGCCGACCCTACTGGAAAGGTGTTAATGGCCCTTAATAGAGAGCGAGGGCGGGAATCTCTGTGTCCCGAGGTCTGCTGTGGGTTTCTGCCCCTGAGCAGCCTGGAAACAAAGCTGCTAAGCTGCTTTCACATCTTTCAGACAAACTTCAATGGGGTTTGAACCTATTTATTAAAACTAATAGTACATTTTAATCCCAAAGCTCACCATGGTTTTCACTATTAAATCCCTATCTTAAATTTTCCCTGTGGATAAACAAAATTTGAAACCGGTTTACTCCCTTCCACGTGAAGTACGGCCCTGCTTGCAGAGCGCGCGGGCGGGGCGGGCGGAGCAGACCAGAGGCTGAGGTGGCTGACAGCACGGGGGGGAGGGGGGTCTCTGCAGCGGCTGTGGGAGCCCTGGAGTCTCAGGGCAGGGGGAGTCCCAAGAGAGGCACCTCAGGCAGAAGAGGTGCTTTCGGGGCCACGGAAAGCAGTGCACACTAACGCTTCCCTGAAGGACCCCGGACCCCACTTTCCGAAACCAGATTTTTCAGCTCAGTTGCAAAATAGAAGTCTTTAGGCTGAAAACGCTACCAACACTGACTCCCTGCTTGACTACACTGAGGCCTGGGCCTCGCTGTCCAGCGGCGTGCGTTCCCGGACACCGGCCGGCGGGGGCGTACCTGGATGTTCACTTGGTAGTCTGTGGGGCCGTGGATCGAACCATACAAGCCAAACCCCACCACTGAGATTCTTCTATTGACCGTGAACCTGAGGATGAAAAGCCAGACACAAAGTCACACACGACTGAGTACACACCCAGTCTCAAGTTCGTGACTTTTTAAAGTGTTACCTCAAACATCTCATTTTCCTTAGAAATGAGATTTCCTTGGAAACGTTGCCCGCTTACCAAGAAAAGCTCAATTTTAACTAAATGGCACTCAAGGAGCATGTCTTCTGCACGTGCGTGTTTGCATCAAAGGAATTCATTCAACCTAAACACCCACTTTGCTGTGGTGCCTGCGTTAGTGTGTCCTAGTGCAGACACTTGCGCCTCCATCACCACACGCCGGCCATTCCCCCCACCTGCACCGCGGCCCTCCCCCAGCTCGCGGGCCTGGGAGAGCCTGGCCAACCAGACAGTCTCTCCACCCCTGCACTGGCCAGTGGAGGACACGGTAACGAATGGATGAGCAGAGACGCTGCAAGTCGTGGCCGTGGGCTGCGAGGGAACAGGCCGCCAGGGATCCGGCTCTGGGAGGCGGCGTTCTGTGTGGCTGTGCTCGCAGCCAAGCCGGGCAGCTCCCAGCACCACAGGAGGACCACCTTCAGGTTAACAATGTATTACTTTTGGTAATAGAGGCTTTTCTTATAAAAAAAAAAAATAGCAGCGCGTTGTACTGGAGAAGAAAAGAGACAATGCAGACAAATGAGAGAGACCGAGGCGGCCTCCAGCGAAGGTCTTGGGTGCACGTCCTCCTCTTGCTTTTAGTTCCATTTTTTGATGGGAAAAAACCTTTTTTCTGTGACCATTTCAGAAATCCTACTAGAATATATATTCTTGTCATTTCTTTTTCCTGTAAAAAGGTAAACGGTTACTACTGGTTCACCGCATCCAGCCGACCCCTGGCTGCTGGGCAGGGCAGGGCAGGGCAGGGCAGCCGCAGCTGTTACGCAGGACGCCGCCTGCTGAGCGACGCCAGGGCCCGACAACAACCCCAGACAGATTCACAGCGGCACAGGAGCAGGGGCCAGCGAAGGGTGTATCCTTAGGCTTTAGAAGACACCATCACATGGCTTCTGGGAAAACCCCACCTCCCACCCCTCAGGCCTGAAGACCGCACTCTCAGCAGCCAGGTTGCCTTCGCTTACTGGTCAATGCTCACAGCTGCTGGCCTTTCTCTTCAAGGAAGCTTGCTCTTTCTCCATTTTTCTCTACTGAGTCTTTTTATGTGGATTTCAGTAATATTTATTTCATTTTATGCTGGTTTGAGACATAAAAATTTTGAATTATTTCTAGTCAAGTTATGATCCACCCCACGTTAGACATGAGCTTATCCTCATCGTGATCAACAGTCACCTGTCCCGGCACTTTCATGGCATTTGTTCATGTTAAAATTTTAATTTATATGAACGTAGGCCGCCAGTGTCGGCAAGCTCTGCCTTCATATTCCCGGCTGTGATTCGCTCCCCCTCCGCCATAACCTCCCCTTCACATTCTTAATGCTCCTTCATGCCAGACCTGGACCATGGAACATCCAACACCTCTCGTGTTTGATGCACACCATTTAGAGAAACACTTACTGCTCCAAATTAACTTTATAGTGAGTTTGCCCAGTCACCGCCTCCCCCCCAAGACCTGGGACTTCTAGAAGGAACCGCACAGCACACAGAGGTGGCCAAGAGAGACGCAGCATCTGACTGCAGTCCAGGAGCTCCAGTTCCTCAGAAACCTGCTACACAGCACGTTCCCTTGCAGGCTAATCCCGCCACTGTCATCTGCTACAATTGTAAATGGGATCTGTTTTTACTCAATATTGTCAGTGAAAAATTAAAACACTTTTTAGCCTTTTTTTTAAATCATGGCAAATATGTAACAGAACGTGCCACTCTGACCGTACCTGGCATGCAGGTCAGCGGCACAAAGCCGGCTCTTGCTCGCGGCCATTATGTGCCCAGGGAGGTCCAGGCGGGCTGGAACCACCTCATGCACTCGCACTGCAACCTCTGCTCTCCCTCAGGCTTAACGGACTATCACTGACCTGAGGTGACTCAGGTAAACCAGGGTCCCAAAAGGAGTTCACCCCGAGGAGGCATGCTGCCCGCACACAGGCTGGGGCACCACCAGCAGGGAGCCAAGAGCGCTAGGCTGACTGCGGGTTTAGAACAATCCCTAAGACAAACAATCTCATTAACTTCCAGTGTCAGAACTCACATCAGCGAGAAGCTTGTTTGTAACCGAGACTGGAATCTAATTCCAGTTTAATGGAATAAACTGATTTTTAAAAAAAATGATTTCTTGTGGTCATTTTACCCCAAGAGGCAGCGCCACGGAAACGGGAGACACTGGACAGCCAGCCCGCGCTGTCTGTGGGCCGCACCCTACGAATTCCCCAAGACAAGATCTAGCAGATGCAGGGCCGCAGCACCGTGGGCACAGTCACCTTAAATCCTAAAACACCCGTCCTAGCAGCCCCCATTCTTCATTCCACAGAAGACAAAATGAAGCACAGTCACACTGGGCGGCCTGGCCGTGATCGCCCCACAGAGGGGTGACGGTGGGGTCCTGCTGCCTGGGAGGCAGCACTTCTACGCCTACCCGGAGGGCAGTCACTGCAAGCAGGGACGAGCAAACCCATAATCCTCCTGCAAATGACTGAGTGCGCCCGTGTGCGTGGACTCTGGCCACAGACAGACTTTAGCAGCCGGGGAGCGCGCAGGAACAGAAACTGGGTAACTAGACTGATGGCGCTTTGTTTTACGCAGAACCCTGGCAGAAAGCAACGTCATTGGGCAGCCGGGCTGCTGAGGGGGTGGGAGGTGAACTCAGGTCCCGGGTGGGGGGGCAGTTGATGGGCACCTTGGGGCCTCTTCCTGCGCAGGTCCCCCTTTGGCCTGAGTCCTGCTGACTTCTCCACGTTACCAACAGGCCCTTGCAGCAATAAAGAATGAGGGGAGAACAAGCTCCGAGTTTCACTTTCAGGGCGGTAAGGAAAACAAAGCCATTATTACAAAAAGGGAGAACGGGGCTGGATGGTCTTGGGAACCACTGATGGAGGCAACGCCGTCTGCTGAGAGAGGAGTCCTTCCCGGGCCCCGGCACTCATCTCTGTCTCCGGGCGCTGCAGCGGCCAGAGTGAGAGGACTTTGCGCGGGAGAGCAGGAGGCTGGCCGCAGGCCTGCTGGAGGGCTCCGCGGCCTACAGCGCCAACAGCGTGTTCTTCTGGCCTGGCTGTCAGGAGTCCTATCTGGAATGACGGTGAAGGGCCGTCTCATGTTTCCAACAGCGACCGACGCGAGCACACTGTCCCTCCACGCGCGCGTCAGCCCAGGAGCACGTCCCCACCACCCGCTCTCAGGCGTGCGGGCTCCTCCAGGGGCTTCCAGTTGCTACTCGAGCATCTCACATGGAAGGTCTTCTATGTGAGACCGAGCCAGAAAACGTCTGTCTCGTCAGACTGCTGTAAAGGGTTAAGTTTCCTTCAATAATTAAGAGAAGTATTTTCTTCTTTTAATGCTCAAGGAAATGGTCTGCTCCTTGAGGGTTTGGTAAAACTCACCTGTTACAACCACCTTGTGAAGGGACAGGTCTTTGATAACTTTTAATTCCTTCCATGGTAATTGGTCTATTCGGGCTTTCTTCTTCAATTTTGATAATTTATATTTGGCTATAAAACGATCCATTCCATCAAGATGTTCAATTTATTAACACAAAGTAAACCCAGAATTAAAATGAAAATTTCCTCAGCATGTGATGATATTCCCATTATTGTTTCTAAGTGTGAGCTGACATGTTACTACCTTTGCCAGAGGTTTCTTTCTTTTATCGGTCTTCCTGAGGAAGCAGCTATGGGCTTTTCCAGTCTGCTATTTTAAGTCATTAATTTCTACGATTCTCTTTCTCTTATGGCTCTTTCGCTTTTCACTTTCTAGCTATTTGGATTGAATGCTTAAGTCTTTTATTTCTACCCTAATTTACTGTTAAATTATCCCAAGCAACAGTATGGTGGTAATCACTATGACTGTCCCCCGTGCGAGGCTCCGGGCTCGTCCTGTTACGTTCCCACCGTGAACAAATACTAGATAGTCCAAAATACGTATTTTCAATTTCTATTTTTACCCAGTATTTGTAAGAGTTCTTTCGCCTTTGAGTTCTATTTTTTAAACAAGCTTATTACAGGTTTCTAGTTTTACACAAAAGTGCCATCAGTGGCAACCCGCCAGGCATGTGCCATGAAAACCGCTGCTTAGTCTGTCTGGACACTGACCCTAAGGACAGCCGCACAAGGGCGGGAGCCGCGCGCAGGCTCCCCAGTGGCACCTTTCAAGAGTCTTGGCGCCCTGCGGCTGGCCTATGCGACGCCCGCGGCTGGTCTGTGTGTACTGCGACCCTTTCCACACGCTGTCTCTGAGCAGAACCAACTCCTGCTCAGCACACCAGACTCAGGGCGAGGCATGAGAGCGAGACTGAACCAGTGCTGCCTGGCCCAGACTCACCTCAGGGAGGGGTGCCCAGGGGGAAGCAGGTGCCTGAGCGCTCCCACACCCCAACTCAGGAGGGGCCGCTGCCCCCCTGATCCCTGCTGTGAAAACACAAGGCACAGACAGACAGGAGAGGCCGCGCTGCCGCGCCGGGCACCTGATGCGGTCGCTGGTCCCGCTGTAGCCCCAGCGGCTCTCCACCTGCTGGAAGCGGCTCACGCAGCACTCCTTCCCCCGCAGGCAGCAGCGCGGCCGGTCGATGTACTCCACGCGCGGTTTGGGGTTCACGGTGAAGTGGAGAAACAGGGTCACCACTTCCCGGTCTGACAGGATCCCAGACTGTGCAGGCCCTGCGGAGACAAGCACACGTGGGGGTGAGCAGCTGAGGGACGTTGGCGGGGCCTTGGCTGCAGTGTTACCTGCTCCACCTGCAGCCGCGCGGCCAGAACCCGAGAGCCAAGGCCTGGAGTGACTCCGCCCCGCTGCCGATGCTCCTCGCAGGCTCTGCAGGGAGCCAGGTCCCCCCACTGCCTCGATGAGCGCACACAGGGATGGCCCTCAAGGGGTCGACAGGCCAGGTGGGGCGGCACAGACATCTGAGGAAAGTTCCAGCAGCGGAAACGGGTCAGGAATGGACGCAGCTGCATAGGGAGCTACCGGGAGAAGCCTGTGCTGCTCTGGAGACCCGGCTTTTAAAGACGCTTATGTATCACCCACGGACGCAGCGGCTGATCCTAAACACACACCTGCATGTTCACCTGCGGGAATGTTGATGGTTAAATACTTAGAGATATTTAACCATAATAATAAATAAAAATACAGCTGAAAATTGCTGCTCTGTACATTTATCTCAAAAAAGCCATAATAACTGACATGATTAATAATTCCCAATAAATTAAAATCAAAGAAAGGAAGTTAATCTGGAAAATGAGTCATTGTAGGTCACCATATTAAGAGAAAACCAGGGACCAACATCTCCAAGGATGAGAAGCATCTGGTAAAGCTCATGATGAAAGCTCATAGTAACAGGAGGGGCTGTCCTTAGCAAATGAAGGTTGCAGGAAGCCACTAGCACCTCGAAGTCCACAGGGCGCGCAGAGGGGGTGTCTAAGGCCGAGAGGGAGAGACCAAACGGCCGACGCGGGCAGGAGGCAAGTTGCCAACTTGGGTCACACACCATGACCTGCAACGTGGTCAACATGGACGTCCACTTACGTCCAAATGCCAGTGGAGAGCCCAACAGGATGTGAATTTAAAAAGCATCTCGTGCGATAGCATTTAAGAAATGTAACCCCTGGGGAGTAAGCCTACCAAACACATAAAGACTGCTACCAGAGCTCAAAATGTTATTAAGGGAAACTCTTTAAGACATAAAGAATTTAATTTAAAATTTTAATTTAATTTAAATTAAAAAAAGTAAAGACAAATCGGGAGTTCGCTATTATCAACATAAAAATGTCGATAACCCCGCCTTGATCTGAACCCAGCGCAACTCCAACCAAATGCTGCGACTTTCTGGGGTGGAAAGTGACAAACTGATTTTAAAAATTATATGAAAATGCAAAAGATCAGCAATAGCCAAGGAAATCTTGAAGAGCAAAATTGGAAGACGTTCACTACCAGATTTCAAGATTTGTTATAAAACTACAGAAATCAGCTGGATAAGAACCCCCACCAGTGGAGCAGGATGGACGCACAGCCGGAGGCCTGACACAGGGCTGGCCGCAGGACACGGTGGCACGGGCAGTTTTTCACTTTCAGTGCCTAGTCATGGGGCCAAGACTAACCCTGACCTCCCTCACTCCACACAAACATGTGGGGAAAAAACCACCCCAAACCCGACAGGACCATAGCCCCACAAGTTACCTGTGATGCAAAGTTCCTAGGAGAAAAATGAATGGATTATCTTGACCTTGGTGCAGGTGAAATATCTTAAACAGGAGACTAATTAACAAGCTCTTTCCTTAACAAATTGTTAAGAAATTAGCTTCATTAAAATCAAGATCCTCTGTCTCTCAACACAGCGAACACAAGAAAAAGGCAAGCTGTGGACTGGGGTGCCAGCAACGCACACATCTGACGAGACATGCGCAGCAACAAGTCAGCAGAGAAAGAGCAAAGACCCGACAAGCATCTCACGAGCGAGGGTGCCCCGTTCTCCATGGTCAACGTCACTGATCATCTGAGAACAGCGAACTAAAACCACAGTTAAACGTGCCCTCGCCCCGCCGCCCCCCAATGACTAAACCGCACAATCTGACATGGCCGCGCGGCTGGGGGAGGGCGTGGGCACCAAGGGCAAACTCTCCATTCTCTTCACTGTGCGGCCGAGGACGCCAGACACCTCTCGGCTCACGGTGCGTCTGAGACAGCGCGTGTTTTACGAATCAAAGGTCTGCAGCACCCCTGCTCCAGGGCTGACGGCATTGCTTTCCCGACAGTGTTTAGGCATAACGCCATGCACGCGGACCACTGTGGCGCCGCCAGCCTTCAAGGGCTGCTTCAGCCGCCATCCAGCCACGCAGTTTGGCCTTTTCAGTCCAAAGTCCATATGGCCCAGTCAGTCAATGACCTAAACGCAAAGAATCAAAACACCGACCCTGCAAAAGTTCCTCTCAGGTTAAACAAGAACAGGCACTTGATCTCCTTGGACGAGTAAATGTCAGGAGGTGTGACCAGGATGCCTGGGGAGTCCTCGACTGATATGCATGCAACTAACTTTGCATCCCAGAGACTGATCAACGGACGCCTTGCTAATAAGATGGGAACTACAAGTGGGGGTTGGAAGCTTGATTTTGATCTTCAAACACGGGCCATTCAACTAACCCGCATCCACAGATTCCCCCCAAAAGCCTAGACAACCTAAGCAGACATTTGCTTCTTTCTAGCTTTTTTCACCTTGTCCTCCTGCCCCAGTTACTGACTCTGTAAAATCACTCAATCCATAAAAAGGCCAGGTTTTGCCTTCTCGGCACGTCCCACCACAACAGTCTGCTCCACGGCGCCTGTTCCTTTGACGGCGGGGTGCTGCCTGACACGACACACTACGGTATTGTATAACTGTGTCTTTTACATGCACTGGAAGCCAAAAAAAAATTGTGTGACTTGCTTCATTGTGACATTCAATTTACTGCAGTATTTGCTTTATTGCAGTGGTCCAGAAACAAGCCTGCAGCATGGGGAGGTGTGCTGCATGAGGAGTCTGGGATGGCTCCCACACAGAAGCCAGCCAAGGTCAAACAGCGGTGAACTGAATCACTAAATCATGGCACATTCCTGTACAGAATATTATACACTACTGAAAAGGAAAGCAAGCCATCCAGAGACAAGCCTAACAGGCGCAGTGTTAGGAAAAGCCACACACGAAAGAACACACATCTGTCTGAGTTCTTTTACATTAAATTCACAAATGGGAAAAAGCAATGAATTGAGGAGGGAGTGAGATTAATGACATAGAGGGGCACGAAGGAGGTTTCTTGGGTACTTTTTATTTTTTTAAAGATTTATTTATTTATACAAGCACTGGGTACAGTCAGAAGCGCGGGAGGGCGAGAGGATCCCCCAGAGCCAGAGCGGGGAGCAGAGCAGGCAGAAGGACCGAAGTACACTGCTGAGGGGAGCAGCGGGCGGCAGGAGAGGTCTGCGCGCCATGTGGGACCCTCGCTGGCGGCCGGGGATTAAACTGGCGCTGCAGAGGCTGTGGGCAGCTTTGCAGCCCAGCGCTTAACCGCTGTGCCATTGGGGAGGCCCTTCTTGGGTACTATTAATGGACTGTACATGGTGATATTAAGTGCAGTTAAACATTTACAAAAAAATTGATCCTGACCAGCAAAAAAAGCTACCTGGGAGCAGCTAGGGGTTAAGTCCAGACTCACCTGCAGCAAACTCCTCAATGGTCATCAGTGGGAACCGGATCAAGGACAGTGCTTTTCCCAGAACTTTCTGCTTGTTTTCGAAAGTCACAGGCAATTGTTGTCTTTGACACTCTGCCTCTGCCCATCGTACAACAGCTCCAAAAAGCCGGCTTTCTCGAATACTAAGTGTGTCTCTTTCTAGAACTGCACATAGTGTGTCTACGGAAATACAAAAGTAACTCAAGTTAGGAATATTTACTCTTTAACAAAACAAACCTGACAAACGTGATTATATTGTTTTGAAATCACAAAAAAAAAAAAAAACAGGTTACTTAGCCCTATAGACTCTGTGCTTAAAAATATTCAGAATGGAAGACATTACACTGCAAAGTTTCCCTTAAAAAAATTATGATCAGGCTGAACATGCAAGATACTCCTCATCACACCGGAGACTTTAAGATATGGTTTCTCACATAGTCATGCCAGTCGTCAAACTCACTCAAATGTCGAGATTGTTGTCAGAGGAAAAAAAGACTCCTGCCAATAAATCCCCGAGATGACAGATTACAGTCCACTCAGGGGTACTGAACACAGAGCACTGAACACCCGCTCGGCCTGCCTCTGGACCCTGAGGACTCACATTTCAAACCCCATAGGAGAGACACAAGCCCAGAATCAAAAATAGCTCTGAAAGAGCTCCGACAGCCAGGCCCCGCTTTCCCTCAGGGTGTGAGAGAGGCCCTCTTTCCATCCCGATGTCCACCAAGCACAACTGAGGCAAACAGGACGGGTGGACACACAGATCCTCCACTGGCAGATGTGTCAGAAGCAGAAATTTCCACTGAGAGTCTAACACGGGATTTTAATATAAACGAAGCGAATCACCAACTGCTTACAGGAGTCTACTCTGTGCAAGGCACCGACTTAAGATTCTGTTTATCAAGCAACTCAGGAGTTCAGGGGCCACGATGCAGCCAGAACCAGTGCCAAGGGAGAGACGGAGAAGCAGCGGCGCTCTGGACTGCCCCTTGGAGGAGCGTGAAGACCAAGGTCCGCTTCCCTCAGAACACAGGCCAGTGACTCAGCAGAGACGCCACGCGCGTGGGGGCAGGGCTGGGAGGCGGGCCGGCTCTCAGGACGCCTCCAGGTGAGTATAAATCCCCCGAGGCCCCACGTGATAGAGCACTGTGCCCCCGGCGCAGCCGGTGTCCAGCAGAGCGTGTGTCCAGGCAGAGGGACAAGCGTGTGTCCAGGAGGGAGGGGGCGCTCCGGGCACAGCGGGCGATCCTGCGGGCCAACATGCGCACCTGGGTCGGTGTTCGAGGGACAGTGGGAGACGGGACCTGGGCCTGCCTTCCAAGAGCTCACAGCGCAGAAGGGGAGGGCACACAAGCAAAGTCACGTTCCCAAAAGCTAGACGGGAATGTCTGAGCGTGACAGGTATCAAGAGAAATAAGTGAGAGGAGCCACAGCAGCCTGAGGTGGCCCGATGGGACCGGACCTGAGCCTGGCCGACTACAAGGAGGCAGCTGCCACCGGGACACGGGCTCTGGCCCGAAGGACAGCACCTGCTGGGCCTAGAACAGAAGGCCCCAGCCCAGTGTCCTGGGTCAGGGCAACCCGGGAGGAGCGTGAGGGAGGCCAGGCTGGATGGAGCTGGAGGGATGTCGGGCAGCTGTTCACGAGCTTGCCACTCCTCCTCCCGGAAGGGTATGGTCTGCACCTGGGGGCTGGGGTCCCCTGATGAAATTCTAAGAACAAAGTAAGAGCCAAAGTCAGGGCACCACTGCGAGGGCCCAGCTTTGCACATGGGTGGGTCCCATGGCCGGCAAGACGCAGAGAGCAGCCCCCGGCATGCAGGGCTGCGGGCGGGGAGTGCTGGTGTGGCCAGCACCACCCTGATGGGGAGGCCGGCCCACCTGACCACACAGCCCGACCACACAGGATCTCACTGTGGGAGACGCCGGAAGGCAGCCATGCGGTCTGCTCTGACTGCGATCTGTTCTGCGCGGAGAAGGGGTGTGTGACAGCACAGCAGGCGGAGCACAGAGGTGGTCCTGGGGAGAGGACAGCGGCTTAGCTGCGGCGGAGGCAAGGGAGAGGCCAAGAAGTGGCCAGTTCAGGCCACATTTAAAAGGCAGATCTGAGCATTGCTGGTCAACTGCACACGGAGGTGAGAGGAGGGAGAGTCAAGAACAAGGCTGGCTTTGGCCTGAGTCACCAGGTGCATGCTGGGACCGTGAGAAAGGCTGGGGAGGAACAGAAAGGGTGTGCCAAGGAGCAGGGCGTTGCCAGCTGAGCTGGGCCGTTTGGAATGCCTATAAAATCTCCAAACGCAAACGTCGAGGAGAGGGCTGGGTACCTGAGCCAGGGCTGAGAACAACAGTTTGGGTTGTTGATCATGACGAAGAGAATATTTAAAGCCACAGCCCTGGAGCCTCAGCTGGCTCTAGTCTGCAAAATTCAGAACCCTCAAGAGAAACTAAGTGGGTGAACCCTAGTTTTGAAACAGCTCGGTCCCCAACAGGGCTGGCTGGTAAAGTGTGACTGCTTGAAAGGCACATTCCATACGATACAAAAAGGAGCTCACCTATGTCGATGTCCGTAAACCCCTCGGCGCTGATGGCATCCACGGTGCTTTTGTCGATTGTGTCCAGACACAGGCTGGCAAGCTGAGGTTCGTCGAATAATCGAGCCTGGACAGACAGAAGGACAGTTTATATTCAGTCTCCCTTCACACGTACACAATCGACGTTAACGCGGTACGGTCACAACTGCTAAATATGTAGAAACAGCCACTTAAGACACAGAACCTGGCTTGCCGGAACACTTCATTCCACCAGAAACAAAAAGCTCAAAGCACAAACGCCCCACTGAGGTCACAATTCATACCCCCGATAACCCCGTTGTGTTCATGGCTGGCTGCCCCTTGCAGAGGACTTATGCTGGGCCTCAGGGCTCCCTGGGTCAGACATGGCAGACAATTGCACCTCGTTTTACAAACGTAGCTTCGGGGAGCTGTACTGGCCAGCGAAGATCAGGTTAGCGCGGCTCGAGTTTTTGATGGCACCGAAAGTCTACCATCTCCTCACTAAAGTGTACCCCAGCCATCAGCACACCAGAACCCACACATTGGACCTCCCCCCCATTTCCTGTTCTAACTGTGGGGAGTGAATGAAGTATAGGGGCTTCCAAGCATGAGCCCCCTGGAGACTTTAGAAAAAACTAGGCCTAGGGCCTCCCTGGTGGCGCAAGGGGTTAAGCACCGCACTATGAAGCAATCCGCAGCCTCTGCAGCCCGAATTAGATGCCCGGCCGGCCAGGGAGCTACCCACATGGCGCAGCAGACCTCTCCTGTCTCCCCACTGCTCCCCTCAGCAGTGTATTTCAGTCAGTCTGCCTGTTCCGTTCCCCGCTCTGTCGCTGGTGGATCCTCTTACCCCCAGCATCTCTGGCCTGTGCCTGAGCTCTCGTATGCATAAATAAATAAATCTTCTGGATTAAAAAAAAAGAAAAAAGAAAAAACTAGGCCTAGGACAGAACAAATAGCCCACGTGATGGAGTGTCACATGACAAGGAGAATGAACACAGTGCGGGGGGGCGGGCTGGGGATGCCCCCGCAAACTTCACATGGAGCCTGTACACTGCCAACAAAGCTAATCTAACCCACAAGCCAGAAAACGAGCTTATAAAATGTGCATGAAAAAGGATGCACGTAATTAAAAAAAGTTTAAAAGTAGGGTTTAAAAAAAAATTAAAAACTGAAAAGGGAGCTGTGATGAAGGCACGTCAGTGATGCTCGCCCGCCCGGGGCCAGCTCTGCTCCGTGACAGCCGGACACACACGAAATGGGAGAGGCGCTCGCTGGGACGTGGGTGAAGCCACAGAGAACAGGGAGCCGTCAGCAGCCTTCGAGCCTCGGAGTTTGGTATGGCTGATTGCACTCCCCTTATTTTATTTATTTATTTATTTATTTATTTAAAGAAAGATTTATTTATTTATGCATACAAGAACTGGGATACGGGCCAGAGATGCGGGGGTTGAGAGGACTCCCCACAGACAGAGTGGGGAGCAGAACAGGTGGATCTACTGAAATCCACTGCTGAGGGGAGCAGCGGGGAGACAGGAGAGGGCTGCTGTGCCCTGTGGGTAGCTCCCTGGCCGGGATCGAACCCGTGCTGCAGTGGCTGCGGACAGCTTCCCAGCGCTGCGCTCAACCCCTTGCGCCTCCAGGGAGGCCCCTCGCCACTTAATTTTAAAGTAAAATTTATTTTCGAAAGATTCAGTGACTCAGATGTTGCAAACAAATGATAAAGATCCCTAAACTCAACGGTTACCTTGTGTTCTGTGAGGGGAGAACAGCTAACACATTGGCTCAGATGTCTGACAATCTTTACACATGTGTACACACAACCTTCTAAAGTTAAAGGCTATTCAAATGTTTGTGAAAATACTCTTCTCAGATTATATATTGAGCTTTTTTATATTAATTTGCTTTTAGTCAAATTTTAATGAAACCCCGGCTCTACAAATAAAAATGTGTATTAATAGGATATTAACTCTCGCTGGTATGTTTTCCCTTCACGTTTCTATTTAGAAATAACTTCAAAGTTATAGAGAAGTTACATGCCTAAAGGACACCTTACACCTTCTACCCAAACCTGCCCACCTGAATGTGACGGACGCACGCACCTGCCTTGTTCACCGTCCCCCGCACGCCAGCACCCGCCGTGCGGCTGTGGCTAGGATGACACATCTGCTCCACCTAACCCCGGGCCGGGGGAGGATCAAGACGAGCGGAGCCTGAGGAAGCAGGCGAGGTGCATTTGATAATTATGTGCATGTGCGTGGACTTTTTTGAGGGGGTTCTGAACCTCCCGAGAATAAATTACATGCATCATAGGCCTTTACCCTGGAACACCTCAGTGTGTGTTTCTCTTACGCAATCCTAAGGATATTCTCTCATATAATCCCAGAATTAACTTTGGGAAATAGCAATACAGTATTTTTTACACAGTCTGCTGTCTGCACTTCGGTTTCCTCAACTGACACCACGTTCTATAAAGACACTTTTCCTTCTAGGGGAAGATCCAATCTAGGATCACAGTAGCTGTATTTGTTAAATGTGAAAACTGGTACATTTTTAACAAGCATAATTCTGATATCTGTAGATATTTTAATTGGCCAACTCAACTGTATTTTTAATGTTGATAAAAAAATTGAATTTCCACCCTAGGAAAAACAATGATTTTAAGTATTTATTGAGAGTAGCAACTCTGCAGCCGCTCCTCCGGTTACGCAGGCAGCGTCAAGTTTCCTACGGCATCTACTGCTGCCAAACACAGCTTCCCAAGATGCGGCCCGAGTCTGGCTCTGTCTCTGACGAAGTGCCGGGGGACGGCGCCCCGCCAGTGAGCGTCTCCGTGTACGTCATGCTACTGCGTGCACAGCCCGTCTTAGTGAACACGCTCCGTGCAAATGACTCACTTGGCAGGAATGAGGGTCACATGACAACCGACAGGCTAGTTCACATCACCCTACCAAGCAAAGATCTGGAAAAATGCATCCTCATACCCACCCAGGCCTGGAAAGTTCCTTTCCCTCTCAGGGCACCACCAGCCCCACCAGCCCCGCACCCATAGCAGCTGGTCCGCCCTGAGCCAGAACGTCCTGTGAGCCATCCTGGTTAGGGTCGTCGGCTCCTGAGGTTTATGATTCAACCTTTAAAATACATCTACACACGTTAAACCCTTTCAGACTTTCACAAATTCCAAAGGGGAAAAACCCAAGAACACTGCCTCGCGCTGACGTGGCCTCTAGTTACCTCAGCTCTGTAGGTCTCCAATTTCTTATCTATAAAATGAGGGTGAGCTTAGATCGCGTAGAACATCCACACCCTGGAGCGCCTGTGATGAGCAGATGCCCGCGGGGGTGCTGGGGAACACCCAGCACGCAAGGTCACTGGGTGGGCTCCACCTCTGCACCCCCACGTCACCTGCTGTTAAGTTTAAGGCTGAGGCCTCGGTCGTGCCTGGTGTTAAACTGGAGGTTGATTTCTCTTAGCTGCCCCTTCTTCATCCTTAAAATGGGGTACGAGCAGGAAGTCTGAGTGTGCAAGGGGGTGGGGGGCTGTGCACAGGTGTCTGCCCACGGCAGCCCAAGGCTGTGCCCCGGGGCCAACGTCAGCACGCTCACCCTCCGGTCTTGGGGACAGAAACAAACAGCAGAGGTGCCAGCGGACACTGTCCAGGCGACAGGGTGCGTGTTACAGGGATAGGCGGGCCCCAGCTTCAGGTTTTCCTTTTGAAAAACAACAGGGTCGAGGGGGAGGCTGTCTGGGACCATTTCCAGTAGCGGCAGCCAACAGGACCTCGATGATCAGCTAGAGCCGTGCAAGCACTTGCAGAGGCCGCCACAGGCCACCACGGCGCCGGCAAAGCAGAAAAACAGCAACCTCGTTTCCCTTTGAAGTGTGAAGTGCGGGGCTTCTGACGACAGCTAAGTCGCATGTGTCAAGGCCTGGGTGTGCTCCACAGGTGTGCCCAGACTGTCCACTCGTGTGTACCGGTTTGCAAGTGCACTCTTCCAGGGGACCCCTGCCTTCTCTCAGACCGAAGGCTAATCACCCTGGGGGCAGGCCGCCCACTGCAGGCCCAAGTCCAGACAGACCCCGGTCTCCTCTCCAGACGCAGCATACGTGGGGGATGACGCTCAGGTAGCACCAGGTGCCCCGCCCTGCCTGTCCAGGCCGCCGGCGGCTGACCCCAGCCCGACCCTCCCCCGGGCCTCGCTTCTGCAGCGGTGACGCCGGGCTCTGCTCTGTTTCCCTCTGAAGCCGCGGGATCTGAGCTGGTTCCCAGGCGGCTCTACACCCTACACCCGCCACAGTGATGCGTGCGTTAGAGGAAAGGGCACGCTGCACGCATGCGCGCGTGCAAGCCGACACACCGGGTGGCCGCTCCTACCTGCGTGAGCAGCATGAAGGCGTTGTCCGGCCGGAGGTGCTTGGTGAGGAACTCCACGCAGTGCGCCTCCAGGGCCGGGACTGCGTACTTCTTGGCGGTGTAGAGCGTGGTCATGACCGTCTCCGGGCCAATCTGGACCTCATCTGAGTACAGAAACCTGGAAGGCGACGAGGGAAGGGCAGGAGGGTCAGGGGGCTGGAGAAGGCCCCACTCGGGTGCGGCCCCCGGGGGCGTGTGAAAGGAGCGAGTGGAAACCCGCCCACACCTGCCAGGGCCTGCAGTGAGTCTGTGGAGCTGAGGCGACGTCTCTGAACACCCAACACCCAAACAGCCCACCCATGAGTGGGGTGTCTCATTCTAGGCATCTCCAGCCTTTCTATTTGCCCAGGACGAGCGTGCTGGCCGCGCCAGGGTGCTGGCCTTGGGGCACGAGAGGGCCCAGGGTGCGCACGCTGGCCTCGCAGCGCACCCCCACTCGGCCCCCTGCTGTGGGGGTGGATGGGTGGGTGCTTCAGACAGAACCAAGCCCGGGGCTCTGGGGGACCGGGGTGGCCTCTCCTGAGTCCCAGCACAGCACTGCGGACCCCCGCGACCTCCCCAGGGGCCAGCTGCCCCGGACAGCCGAGGGCGCCGGAGAACGAGCGTTCCGCCTCAACGACACTAAAGGCGGCAGAACACTGTTCCCAGGACCCCGGCTGTAAAGTGAGCCTTGGATCAAGCACCAACTTCCAACTTCTTCCAGAGCCGCTTTCATATTGGAGCCAGGACAGCAGGCCTCGACCTTTCAACTTCCTCCACTTCGTCCCTGGGGCCGCCGTCGCCCCGCGGCCTGACAGAATGCTGGCTTTCCTCGACACCCCCAGCCCCCCGCCCCGCCCCGGCGCTCATTCTCACGCTCCCCAGCCTGGTGCACAGGGGAGGGCTGCGGCTTCCCGGCGTGACGCCCTTCTGAGGCATTTTTCCAAAACCTTTCAGGCACTCAAGCCTCAAGTCTACGCCCTCACCCTCACAATCCCTACTTGACGTGCGTCACGCTGTGTGATGAACGCGGAGCTAAAAATCAGGCGAGGCACAGCCCCTTCTAGTCCGGGGAGAGGGCTGGGTCAGGAGAGAGTCGGTGACATCACTGGGGGATGGATGATGCCCCCCACCCCCGGGGCCCGCGGGGCGGTGACTCAGCCCAGGGCCTGGTGTGAGCCGGAGTGCCCGAGTCCCTGCCTCAGGAGGCTGGGCTGAGGGCACCCGATGGGGAGACACAGCCAGTGACCCCAACTACCGGCCAGGTGTCAGCCTCCTAAATGCCAGCTATTAATTCACGCCAGCTCACTTGTCTCCTCTCTGCGGCTTTTCTGGCTGTCACCTCCAGCTCTTCTCTCCGCGCAGCCAGCCCATGCCCAGACTGTCTTGCTTCTTTCGGATCCCTGTTTTCTTCCATAACACCACACCGGGCTTGCTGGACGCAAACATTCCCCGCGTCTCCCGTCGTGACGCTCCCTGGTGTTCCCGGAATCACCTCGTCCTTGCGTGCGGCCGGCTATTCTTGGGCCTTGTCACTCATGTCCTACATTAAACGGCCGAGGACTGGCCCAGCTCCAGTATTCCAGCCGTTGTGGAAGCAGACCTGTTTTCCAGATAAAACCATTTCTTGCCTTTGCATTTGAGTAGCTCAAATTTAAGAGACAAGTGCCCTGTTAAGTACATAGTTCTAGAAGAATCTGTAACAGGCTGACAGGGAGATCTGGAAAAGCTTCACAGAGATTTCTACCTGAGGTAAGATCTAAAAGATGACAAAGAGAGTGGGAAGAACATTCCAGGAACAAGAGTTTTTATATCTTGTGCTTTTTAATTATACTTTATGAGAAGGCCCCCATTCCAAACTTTTTAGCCAGTTGTACTTTGGCAACATATCTCTGGCGGATGTCAAGGAAGAGCTCAAAGACACGTCTCTCTCTAGAGACGGAGACAGGCACCGCTCGCCTTAGTGCTGCTCCCGGGAGGCCCGCACCAGGGCGCTTTTCCTAGTCTCATCATGAGGTAAGCGCCGTGCGTCTCCTGAGGAGCCAGCTGGCATCTCACCTGGCACCAGCCGTGATGCAGATGAGGGGGCAGGTTTCTCTTCGCGTTACCTGCTGGAACCACTGACGTGAAGTGCGTGGCCTCCCTGCGGCGGCCTGTGTTAGCTCCAACTTGGCTGTTTCACTTCTCGCCCTTGTGCTTCTTGAGGGCATTTTCAAATCTCTTTGGAGCAAGACAAGTTATAAATAACTACTGCACTTTAAACAGTAAGAACAGTAACTCCGAGTGTCTTCTCACTCTCCTTCCGCCTCCCGCCCAGCACCAGGCACGGCGCGGGCACAGCGCGGGCACAGGGCTGGGCCTGGACAGAACTGTGGGACCCCCCAGGCTGCTCACGGCCTCCATGGAACAAGGATGGGGGGCCATTTTCACTTCTATAAAAAAGGTAACTTAAAAATCTAACAATTACCTTGGTTCATATTTTACTCACATGTTTCCTCTACACTTTGTTTAGTGATTAAAACTGCAATATAATAAAAAAAAACTAAGCCAAGGTTTACAAAACATAAAAATTAAACTGACGTGACCACACGCTTCATACTTTAAAGTGAACATTTCAGGGCCTCCCTGGTGGTGGAAGGGGTTAAGCACCGCACTGTGAAGCTATCGGCAGCCTCTCAGCACCAGTTTGATCCCGGCCAGGGAGCTACCCACAGGGCGCAGCAGACCTCTCCTGTTTCCCCGCCGCTCCCCTCAGCAGTGTACTTCAGTGGACCCGCCTGTTCTGCTCCCCACTCTGTCTCTGGTGAATCCTCTCACCCCCTGCCTCTCTGGCCTGTACCCCAGTTCTTGTACGCATCAATTAATCTTTAAGCGAACATTTCAGCTCTCATACACCACTGCCAGCGACCAAAGCACAGAGAAACAATAACTTCATTTCATGAAACTGTCCCTGTTTTCTCCCCAATTACGAGTGGTTTTCTATAAAGATAACGTGTAGGCTACATTTAACCTAATTAAAAAATCTTAAGACAAAGGTGAAAACTTGATTTTAAATAAGAAAAACCACAAGACCTTCTGGAAGAAACCGAACCTCCCCGAGCTCATTCATTCTACGGGGCTGCGCGGCGCCAGGCACGAGCCAAGTCCCGGAAAAGCAAACACAAGCACGGGCGAGATGTTTTCCCTTAAAGGGTATGTTTGGTGATGCAGTGACTGAGAAGCAACGTCCTGGTTGAACACACATGAGGGGCAGCGCGAGGCCTCACCCCTACCTCTGTTACTCGTGCTGTGACAGAGGTTTGTCCCATAACGTTCTTGGGCTGCCTGTGACCTGCTTTATCAACAGACGCTGTGCCGGGGCCCCGACCTGGAGGATGCGGAGGGAGGATGCAGAGGAGGATGCGGCAGCTCCTGCACCTGGGCTCTCAGGCCCTGAGACGTGGTCAAGGACCAGCGCCCCACTGGAGAGCGCGGAGGGGAGAACGCGCGGTCACCCCTGAACTGCAGTCGAATATCCGGAACTCCGCGCCGCTGCCACCTGAGCTCGAGGATGCGGGGGGCACCAGGGAGAGCCCTCTGACCTCGGTGACCCGCAGGCAGAGAAAGACATGACGGGTCGAGTCAGTAAGCAGCTGCTCCACAGCAAGAGGTGACCAGAAAGGCCGCGGCGAGGAGAGCAGGTGCGACAAGGGCCTCTAGGAGCAGAATCCGAGGACCCAGGGGGAGAGCCGGGCGAAAGCAGCACAAAGGCAGAGGCCCGGGGAGGACAAAGGCCACCAGTGCCGAGCAGGTGGAGGCGGGGGTGAGGGGGAAGCGGAACTCCCCTGCCGCACCTGGCACCTGCTGGTGTCTGCACCCGGCGAGCAGAAAGTCACTAAAAGGTCTGGGCAGCGCATGAAAATACCTGCTACCAGCAGGATTTTCACCGCTGAAGCCGCCCCAGGGCGGTGGGGCCGAGGCAAACAGAAAGGACCAAGACACAAGGCGGCGGGACGTCAGGAGCCGTGCCGAGACAGTGAGGAACAGATGGACCCTCGCTAGTGACTGCAGCCAAGCCCACCCAAGTCGGTCACTCCCAGCTGACCCAGAGAGCTGGGACTCGCCAGCAAGAACCAAGGGTGGTTTGGCCAAGCCCCCACGGTCCCTCCCCCAGGACGTGGGCAGGCCGTTGAGCGCGCCTCTCCCAGCTTACAGCGCCGGCACCCTCCCGACTCCACCGCGTCCTCAGCGCTCACCAGATGACGGCCAGGGGAGCAGGACGCTCAGGCCCACCTCTAGCCAGGGACCGCTCAAGGGAGGCGCAGAGTGGCTCAAAACGAGCAGTTTCCTAAGGGGCTTCAAACTCAAATTCAACAGCTTTTAAATAATATTAACCCATCCAAGTTGCAAACGTTAAGTGTAGGAGTGACCTGCTTTTCTACCTGAGCGAGGACCGGGAGCCACCTTTCGTCACAACAGCAAGCCCACACCGAGTTGATTTCTATTTATTCATTCATTCATTCATTTATTTTTAAAGATTTATTTATTTACGTATACAAGCAAGGGGTACAGTCAGAAGCGCGGGAGGGTGAGAGAATATACCAGAGCCAGAGTGGGGAGCAGAACAGGCAGACTGACAAAATACACTGCTGAGGGGAGCAGCAGGCACGGCAGGAGAGGTCTGTCGAGCCATGTGGGACCCTCGCCGGTGGCCGGGAATTGAACTGGCGCTGCAGAGGCTATGGGCAGCTTCGCAACGCAGCACTCAACCACTGCACCACCAGGGGAGGCCCTATTTATTTTTTTAAAGATTTATTTATTTATACAAGAACCGGGGTACAGGCCAGATGCGCGGAAGGTGAGAGGACTCATCAGAGACAGAGCGGGGAACAGAACAGGCAGACTGACTGAAATACCCTGCTGAAGGGAGCAGCGGGAGAGACAGGAGAGGTCTGCCATGCGGGATTCTCGCTGACGGCTGGGATCGAACCTGTGCTGCAGAGGCGTGGACAGCTTCACAGTGCGCCGCTCAACTGCCTGCGCCACCAGGGAGGCCCCCCCACTGAGTTTAAACACGTGTTCAGGCATCACTGCCAGAAAAGCCTGCTGAGGCCGGAGGAAAGACGACGCTGTGAAGAAAGTTCGAGGACTCAGATGGATCCACTTATTCTCTACTGATGGGGAAGCTGATCGAGTAACAGCTTCGCCCTGAAGGTGAGATACGTGTTATCCCTCTAAGTTCTTCCCCTGGCCATCTCCATTTTTTTTTCCCCCAAAGAAAGGGGGCTGACACTGGTTTTAGATCCATGGCTCTCAAATTCAGGTCAAACTTACCGAATATTAAAAATAAAATGATCTCAGTACACTTCCAAACGTCACCAGACTGCACGGAGGGGACCTGAGGTTTAGGGAGCAGAGAGGCATCACCAAGCGGGGGACCGAGAGATCACTGCAACTGGTCTAGAAAACCTCTACGACCACGTCCAGCTTCCAGTGAACTGCCAGCCGAACGAGAAACCAGACGGACCCAGACGGAGCTTTCCAGTTTTGTTGTAACCCCCCTTTCATGTGTCACTGAACGAAATTACCCAATACACAGCCAACAAGAGAAAGGGAGGGGATAAAAGATGCACCATCTCGCTGCCCCCCACAACCTGGCTGCATCTGGCGCCATTCCTTCCGTCCCCCTGGGCAGCGGCCCTGTCTGCGCCTTTCTCTTCAGCTTTAACACAGCGCCCAGCTCAGGACACGACTCCCCTGACTCTGCGCTCACCGGGTTCCGCCACCCGGATCCGCCGCGCCCCTAGCAGCTCCTCCCAGCACAATAATCCTGCTGCCAAAGTTCCTGAAGAGAAAATACGTTTATTCCTTTAACACTTCCTGCCTTCGGGGCAAACACTGCAGCACTGAGCTGGCCCGCCGTCTCTGCCGGGCAGCGCGCCTCAGGGTCCTCTTCCAAAGCCTGGAGGGGGCGGACTGGCCGGCGGGGGTTCCCTTGTGCTTCCTTCTTCACCAACGAAGCTGAACATTCTCCTTTTCTTTCCGTAGTGTCCCACTCCTAGGTTTTTTTTTTGAGGGGGACCTTAGTAGGAGGCAACCTAGTGAGCACCTCAGGCTCCTTCCGATGGAGTCGAGCCCACCTGGGGGGCCTGCGCCTGGGGTTCGCCCCTTCGGGCGGCCGAGGCCACTGGGTATCAGGAGCCGCCCGCCTCCGTCCCGGCCGCGGTCACCTCCAGCACGACCCGCGCCTTTCGGGGGGTCAGCACCGCTTCTGAAATGGGGGGAACCAGCCCCACACCTCCCTCAGCGCCCGTCTGAGTCAAAGCTAACGACGCCAAAGTATCACCTTCCCCCGCGGCACAAAGCCGACCAGAGGCCCCGCGCGGCCGCCCCACGCCCGCCCTCGCCCACGCGCGGCCGCCCCACGCCCGCCCTCGCCCACGCGCGGCCGGACGGCCCGAGCGTCGCCCGTGAGAGAGACCCCGGCCCCGAAGGCGCTCCGGGCCTCGCGGTTCCCGACGCCCGCCCCCGACGCCCGCCCGAGCCCCGAGGGGCAGCGGGAGGCCCGGCGGCCGGGGGCCCGGGCTGCGCCCACCTGCCCGTTCGCGCGGGGCCGCCCTCCCGCCGGCCCCGGCCCCGCCAACCCCGGCCCCCGCCCGGCCCCCGGCGCGGCCCGCGCACCTCAGCAGCGCCAGGAAGGCGGCGGGCTCCACGTCGGGCAGCTCGATCTCGGCCGACGTGGTGGCCATGCCGCCGTTGAACATGGCGTCGAAGACGGCGCTGCCGGCCGCCAGCACGAAGCGGTGCGCGGGGACGCGCGGGGGGCCCCCCGCGGCCGCGGCGCCGCGGCCCTTGCCCAGCACGAAGCGCACGTCGCTCAGCAGCTCCGAGTTGAAGAGGAAGGCGAAGCGCTCCTTGAGCGACGCCTTCGTGGCCTGCCAGTTGTACAGCGGCTCCCGCTGCAGCGCCGGCGCCGCGCCCGGCGGCGACGGCGGCCCCGCGGCGCCCGGCTCCGCCTCGGCCCCCGGGCCCTGCTCGCCCGCGGCGGCCGGCCCCAGCGCCGCCATGCTCGGCGCGGCTGTGGCGCGGAAAGGCCGCCGCCCGCCGCCCGCCGCCTCCGAGCGCGCGCTTCCGGGCCCGGCGCCCCGCCCCCGCGGCCCCGCCCCCGCCCGCCGCTTCCGGGCACGCGCTTCCGGGCCCGGCGCCCCGCCCCCGCCCCTAGAGCCCCGCCCCCACAAGTCCTGCCACCCGCCGGCGGGCCCCGCCCCCCGCGAGCCCTGCCCCCAGCGCGCACGCCCCGCTCGCAGCCCGCGCGCCCTGTCCCACGCCGCTTCCGGGAAGTCGCTTCCGGAGCCGCCCGCCCCGCCCCCCGCGCGCTCTCGGGTCCGCACGTGACGTCGGGCGCCGTGACGTCGGGCGCCGGGGGCGCGCGCGGCGCTCCGGTCTGGGCCGGGGGACTCGGTGAGTCCGCGCCTCGCGGGGCGGCGCCCCCAGCCGGGGACCGGGTCTCCTCACGGGGCGCGGCGGGCACAGGCCCCCGCGGCTCCCTCCGGCTCTCGGCGCGGCCCCGTGGTGACCCCGGGCGGGGCCGGGGCCCAGCGCTGAGGGGACGGGGACGCGGCGGGGCGGCCGGGCCTCCTGAAGACCGGGCGGCCGCCGCTACGTCGGGCCCCGGCCGCGATCCCGCCCCGGCGGCGGAGTGACCTCTGGGGGCCGGGGCCCTGCTGTGCCTTTTTCCTCCTTCAGGTTTCACTCCTCGCCATTGCGGGAGCCGGCCCCGACCCCGGGCCGCCGGCGGCAGGACAGGCAGGGCCGCGCCGGTGTGGGCGGGGTTGGAGGGCGGGCGCGCACCCCCAATAAATCCCGGACACGGAAAGGGCTGAGATAGCCTTAGGGGTGAGAGTAATGGCAACACCCGCCCCCCAAACCCGGGGAATGGAGAAAACCTGATTTCCAGAGTTACCACAGTACTGGAGTCCAATGTTCAGAGTTAAAAATTAAAGAAAAAAAAACACAAAAAACAGGATTCCAAAGAAAAGTATGGCCCATCCAAAGGAAAACAACAGGAAATGTCACTCAAAAAATCCCAGTAGCAGATATATTAGACTTCAAAGTAACCATGAAAGAGGCTCAAAGAACTAATGGAAAATGTGGAGAAAGGTTAAAAAACGTTGAAAGGGAAATATAAAGAAAAATGAAACCAAAAGGAAACTCCGGAGTGAAAAGTACAGTAAGGGAAACGGAAAAATCCAGGAGAGGATTCAAAAACAGGCTTGTGCAGGCAGAAGGGGGAGCCGGCGAACACGAAGAAGAGGCCGGACTGAGGCTGAAGTAAAGAAAGAAAAGAGGTTGAAGAAAAACAGAACCCAAGAGACCTGCAGGTCACCATCGGGTGGAAGAACACACATTTTGGGGACCCCAGAGGGCCAGGGGAAGAGACCAGAGAGGCTGTTTGAAGAAATAATGGTTGAAAACTTCACACGCAAAGGCGAGCAGGATTGAAGGGAGAACTAGACCCCGCCACACTCATAGTTGGAGGCTCCCAAATTCCACTCACAGTAACGGATTTAACAACCAGACCACAGATAAGTAAGGAAATAGGGAATTTAAACACTATAGGCCAACCGGACACTACACAGCAACACACACCTTCCTCTCAAGCCTACATCTGAGTGTGGCCAGGAGACACCATGGCAGGACATAATTTAACACTCAGTAGATTTCAGAGCTAGATATCATACACTGCATCTTACCTGACTGCAATGGGATGAAGTTAGGAATCAGTAACAAAAGGAAAACTGGGAAATTCACCAAATTGTGGAAATAAAACTATGAAGAGATCAAAGATGAAATCATGGCATCCATTCTCATTCATTCTAAGTATTTTATAAGTTTGTCAGACATGCTTAAAGATGAATCATCCAGAAACTCAACAATTTTTCTTCTACAATGTTGGGAAAAAATTAAAATTATGAGATATGCTAAAAAGGATAGAAGGAGAATGAATAGACAATGGAATTAGTTTATGGATGATTCAGATTATAAAACACTAAAAAGAAATAGAAGAAGACAAAGAAAGGGAAAGACATCCCCTGCTCATGGATTGGAAGAATTAACATTATCAAAATGGCCATCCTACCAAAAGCAATTTACAGATTCAATGCTATACCAATAAACATTTCAATGACATTCTTCAAAGAAATAAAACAAATATTGATGAAATATCAATATGGAGCCACCAAAAACCCCAAATAGCCAAAGCTCTCCTGAAAAAAAAGGAAGGGAATGAAGGCATCACACTCTCAGACTTCAAACTATACTACAAAGCCATAATCATCAAAACTGCATGGTATTGGAACCAGAACAGACACACAGACCAATGGAATTGGATAGAAAATCCAGAAATAAACCCACAGATTTATGGTCAACTAATCTTTGACAAAGGAGCAAAGAATATGCATTGGAGCAAAGAAAGTTTGTTCAATAAATGGTGCTGGGAAAACTGGGTCGCTACATGCAAAAGAATGAAGCTTGACCACTACCTCACACCATGCACAAAAACCAACTCAAAATGGATTAAAGAACTAGACATAAGACCTGAAACCAAAAATACATAGAAGGAAATACAGGCGAAACACTACATGCCATACACCTCAGTAACATCTTTAAAGACTCATCACCCAAAGCAGTGATAGCAAAGGCAAAGATAAACAGCTGGGACTACATCAAATTAAAGAGCTTCTGCACAGCAAAAGAGACAGTAACCAAAACAAACAGACACCCCACCGACTGGGAGAAAATTTTTGCACACAACACTAATGATAAAGGACAGATCACAAAAATCTACAAAGAGCTGAAGAGTCTCAACAAAAACGAAGTAAATAATCCAGTCAAAAAATGGGCAGAAAAGCTAAAAAGGAACTTCTCCAAAGAGGAAATGTGAATGGCCAACAGGCATATGAAAAAATGTTCAGCATCACTTGCAATCAGGGAAATGCAAATCAAAGCTACAATGAGATGCTATCTTACACCAGTGAGAATGGCACATATTTAAAAAACTAGCAATAACAAATGTTGGCGAGGGTGTGGAGAAAAAGGAACTCTCCTGCACTGCTGGTGGGAGTACAAACTGGTCCAACCACCATGGAGAGCTGTCTGGAGGTTCCTCAACCTGCTAAAGATGGAATTTTCATATGATCCAGCAATTCCACTCCTAGGTATTTACCCAAGTGACACAGAAACATTAATTCAAAAGGGCACCTGCACCCCTATGTTTATAGCAGCACTATTTACAATAGCTAAGCTTTGGAAACAACCCAAATGCCCCAAAATAGATGGCTGGATCAAGAAGATTTGGTCCATATACACCATGGAATATTACTCAGCAATCAAAAAAGATAAACTCATGCCATTTGCAGCAACATGGATGGAGCTGGAAGGGATCATGCTCAGCGAAATAAGCCAGAAAGAAAAAGAAAAATACCGGATGGTCTCACTCATAGCAGGAATTTAGAAAACCTAAATAAGGGACCAGGAAAAAGACTAATTATAATAAAGTAAAAATCAAAATCAACAAGCAACTATAAACCAGAGACACACTACAGGGGTGGGGAGAGGAGGGATCATGGTCAAAATAAGGGGGTGGGAATTGTATATGGGGACTATAACCAAGATGAAAAAGCATACATTGTGCAAAAATGAAAAATGATGTAAAAATATATAAAATAAAATATATTTTTAAAATTAACAATGATGTAAAAAATAAAAAAAATTAATTTTTTAAAAGATTTATTTATATATTTATTTATTTATTTATTTATACAAGCACTGGGTATAGTCAGAAGCGTGGGAGGGTGAGACTTCACCACAGCCAGAGCAGGGAACAGAACAGGCAGACTGACAAAATACAGGGGAATTTTTTTCCCCGCTGAGGGGAGCAGCGGGCGGCAGGAGAGGTCTGTTGCACCATGTGGTACCCTCCCCGGTATTGGGGGATTGAACCGTTGCTGCACCCCACCCCCCGGCTGGCCAGGGAGCAACGCACATGGCGAAGCAGACCTCTTCTGTCTCCCTGCTGCTCCCCTCAGCAGTGTTTTCAGTCAATCTGCCTGTTCTGCTCCCCGCTCTGTCTCTGGTGAATCCTCTCACCCCAACCCTCTCCCCCGCATCTCTGGACTGTACCTCAGCTCTTGAATGCATAAGTAAACAAATCATTTAAAAAAACAAACAAATGAATACTTAAATATTTTGCATTTAATAACAAATTAGACATAAGATGATTGGTAAAACTGGAGGAAAAGTCAGTAAAAGACATCCAAATTGAAACAGGGAGACTGAAAGACAATACAAGAAGAACACATGCCTGTTTGTCTTTTTTTTTTTAAGATATGCAAAGCAGTACATTTTATTTAGAGGTAGTATAAATGTAATTGGATTTTTTTAGTGGAATTAGTTTTTATTTTTTTTATTTAAATATTTTATTTTATATAATTCTTACATCTTTTTTCATCTTTGCACAATGTATGCATTTTCATTTTGGTTATATTCCCCATACAATTGCACCCCCCCTTATTTTGACTCTAGTCCTTCCTTTCCCCGCCCCTTCCCCCCACGTAGTGTGTCTCTGGTTTATAGTTGCTTGTTGATTTTGATTTTTACTTTGTATTGATTAGTCTTTGTCCTGGTCTCTTATTTAGGTTTTCTAGATTCCTGCTATGAGTGAGACCATCCGGTATTTTTCTTTTTCTTTCTGGCTTATTTCGGTGAGCATGATCCCTTCCAGCTCCATCCATGTTGCTGCAAACTGCATGAGTTTATGTTTTTTGATGGCTGAGTAATATACCATGGTGTATATGGACCACATCTTCTTGATCCAGTCATCTATTTTGGGGCATTTGGGTTGTTTCCAAAGCTTACCTCTTGTAAACAGTGCTGCTATAAACATAGGGGTACAGATGTCCTTTTGAATTAATGTTTCTGTGTCCTTTGGGTGAATACCTAAGAGTGGGATTGCTGGATCCTATGGAAGCTCTATGTTTAGTAGGTCAATAAATCTCCACACAGCCCT